GCTGTATTCTGCAAACACCTAAGGACTAAGACCCCTTCCAGTTACCCATTGATTGACTGGTTGAGGTGGTGTCTAACTGTGTTGGGCCTTAAGCAGTTGCCCCACCTTACCTTCCCCAGTAGCTGAGATGCATCCAAGTGCCGCTGCATCCAAGAATTCTGTTTAATTTTAGCAAAGTAATCTTTGCTCAAAAGATGCATAAGGTAAAACATGGACTTCAGTGGACATCCTCAGCCCAGGCCACACTCCTGTACCCCAGCACCACTCAGGGCTTCTCAGGTGGGGGCTGGGCATCCCCAGTAGGCTTATGTAGTGGTTAAGATTTTTAAGTATTATCTCCTCATTGAAGTATGGCAGGTGAGAATTAGCTCAAGCAACCAGTAATGTACTTTTCCAGTCATTTATGTGAGTTCAAGTAGAGTATGTACTGCCATTGTTTCTTTTTACTTCTAGAGATGGGTGGTGATATAATACATGAAATATAGAGTGGACATCCTGTTGCCACCAACCAGAGTTGTGTACTGTCAACACTCTTCCTTCCTTCCTTTTATTTGAGACAAGATTTTGCTGTGTAGCTCGGGAGAGCCTTGAACTTGTGATCTTCCCACTTCCACCTCCTGAGTGATGGGATGAGAGGTGTACATCAGCATGTCTGGCTCGAAGTCAACACCTTTGAGTTTCTTCCTTGGACAGTGAAACCATATGACCGACTCTTTTGGTACTCTGGTACTCTTACTGTGTTTCCTCCCTACTACGCAACTATCCTGCAGTATCATTAGACTAATGTGGTTCATTCATGCTTGCTGCCGTAGAATCACTCACTGCTCAGAGAGAGCAGTGTTCTCCTGTGTGCTGACAGTCATTTCCTGTCTTCTGCTGCTGGAAGATGGCATTTACTTAGTTATTTTTGCTCTTGTATGTGTGCGTATGCATGACTGTGTGTGTGTATGTGTGTGTGTGAGCATGTGGGTGTGTGTATGTGCATGTGCATGTGGGGACCTGATCACTCTGTACTTTAATTGAGGAGGGTCTTTCACTGAACCTGGAGGTCCAGCCTAGTCAACCTGCATTGCTGCTGTCTGCTACCAAGCCCACCTGGCTTTCATGTGGGTGCAGGGGATCCAAATTCTGGTCCTCCGGTCATTACACTTGTTGAATAAGTGCTTTAACCACTGAGTCATCTTCCCAGCCCCATGCCATGAGCGGTTTAATTCTCACCCAGTGGTTCATGCATGCAGGGGCTTCAGCACGGAACACAGATATGGTTTCATCTGTATTTTTCATGAGCTTCACTTTGCTTTGCTAACACACTTTCCCAGTAAGCTTGCCTACCTAGAAGATAGGCCTATCTGTAGGCAGAGCCAGGAATGGGAATGGTCCAAACTCCCCAGATGACTCTACTGTGAGGCCACAATCTACCTTTACTTTCAGCCCTTCAACTCTAGACACCGTCACTCGTCTTTTTTGAGAAAACATCCATAGCTCAGTCCTGTCCCCTCAGCCTCAAAGTGTCTGTGTGATGCCTCCCCCAGCAAGGCCAAAGTGTAGGGGTAAAAAGGCAGAGAGGGATGGATGGGGCTAGTTAGAACTAGAGACAGGGACACAGGTAAATTCTTGGTGTATGACAGAGGGAAGTTTAAGGAAACCCCAGAGCTGGGAATCCTTCTCAGAGGCCAGGACTCGTCCCCTCCCCCACCTGCTAGCAGCCTCCAGTGCTCGCCTGACAGTTGCAGATCAGTTTAATTTGGGGACTCACAGGAGCACCACGATGCATCAAGCTAAGGGGTATTCTAGACTGTGAGGGTCTTATAGTCATGATTCTTTAAAGTGATTACAACCATAGTCAGTTTTCATCGTCCCAGGCCAATGACAGCATGTTTTCTGGGGTGAGGCCCAGACACTAATAATTTTTGAGAAGTGACAGTGTGGTTTTTATATGGAGTCAGGGTATAGAACATGTTGGCTGTGGGTCTGACACCTGTAACTGGCATCCATCAATCACTTGGGGAGCTTGTTCAAATGCAGGCCCCTGGGCTCCTCTCTCTGTATCTGGATTGGGACCTTACCTTAGTTTGGTTTCCTATTACTATGATAAAGTACCCAGCAGAAGCAATTTAGGGCAGGAGGAGTTATTTCAGCTCACCGTCCCAGGTCACAGTCCACTGTTGCATGGAAGTCACACTGGCAGCAGCCAGAAAAGGCTGGTCACATTTCAAGAGCAAAGAGCAATGCATGCATGCATCCTGAGCCAGCTCATTCTTCACTCGGTTCAGGGCCTAGCTCATGAAATAGCATTGTCCACACTCAGGGTGTCTTCCTACTTTAATCAACCTAATTAGCCCTCAAAGGGATGTCCAAAGTCCAACCTAATCTAGACAATCCCTCATTGGAATTTCTTTCCCAGTGTGTAGATTATGACAAGTTGACAATTAAAACCAACCATCGTAGGCCTTGAATTTGTGATTCTAACAGCAATCTCCACTGGGCATCCCTTGATCATACTTGAGATCCATCCCACAGGTCTGAAGTTCCACTTGATGCTGCTCAAGTTTGCCTTATGAATTCCAAAGGGGATCCAGTGCAGTCCTGCTGTGTGGGATTACAGCTTCTCTTCCCACCTCTATTTTCACCAAGTTGGTGGCTTGAAATGGGTCCTAAACCTGGTAGATGCTCCAGATGCAGACCTTTGCTAGTACCCAATCAGTCATGATTTGTATATTTCAGGGTTTCACTGGCCAGAGAATATGGGAGTACAGGGGGTTACTGAGAAAAATGTAGAGCATCCCTGGCTTTGAAGGATCAATGTCATCATTAATGGGTTCTAGAATCCAAGATGCTTGTAGCATCTTCATGCAACTTCCTGTACAGCCAACAAAAGAGGTAGATCTGTGCATGTAATAACACTTTAAATTATTCAAATGTGTGTCCGTGTATGTGTGCATGGGATGTGTGAAGTTTGGAGGAGTTGTTTCTGGCCTTCCACCCTGTGGGTCCTGGGTGCAGAACAAAGGCTATCAATCAGGCTTGGAAGCAGATGCCTTCTTTATGCACTGAACCATCTCACTGGCCCCATTTTTTTCTTTCTTTCTTTCCTTCCTTCCTTCCTTCCTTCCTTCCTTCCTTCCTTCCTTCCTTCTCTCTTCCTTTTTTTTTTTCTTCTTTTGCTTACAGGCTTCCAATATTTAAAGATATTCTGGCTAGCGTTAATACAGGTTGAGAATCCCTTGTGGTGGCACACACCTTTAATCCATTGAGAGACAGAGGCAGGCAGGTCTCTGATTTGAAAGCTAATTTGGACTACATGGCAAGTTTCAGGCCAGCAAAGGTTACATAGTAAGACCCTGTCTCAAAGAAAAAGGAGAAGAGAGAGATCAGAGAAGACAGACACACCAGATTCAGATTTTAGAATGCTTGCATTTGAAATATTGGGCTAGGACTCATCTAAAGGTTAGATTCGTTTAGGTTTCATATTCACTTATATAGTATAAACATGATTTTATGAACTTTTAAGAAATAATTCTGTACAGTTCACAGAATTAAGGGTATGGAATTTTCCATCTGTGGCATCAGGTTGGTTTTTGGAAATTGTTGGTTTGGGGCTTATTCTAGATTGCAGATTTTCAGGTTTAGGCATGTCCACTTGTGTAATTTATTATTAATAGTTGGAAAACCCAGATAATCACAGGGACTGAAATAGAGGAAAGCATTCTGGGGACTCTTGATTCCAGGTTACCTTTTAGTCCTGGCACATGGGGAAATTTCTGCTTAGCCAAGATGGACCGGAGACGAGGATGATCTAACAGAACCTAACCTGGCACTTGTCCCAGCAAGTTCCCATGAAGGAGCTCAAGGGCTGGGCTGATCTCAGAATGACCCTGAGTTCTAGGAAAGCATTCACACCACTGCCATTGAGAAATGACCCATCGTGGTGACCACTGCAGCCCTCACCTTATGCTCATGTCTGGTGGTTTATGTCCTAAGGTTGACACCTCTGTGCTATAGTCCAGTCCAAACCCTGGCTCCTGTTAGAACCACAATGCACTTCACAAGCCAGGGTACAGGAACACTCAAGAATAATCTTTTGGGCATTAACACAGGAGGGAAGCGACTAGAGGCAAAGATATTTAACAACTGAAGGTCAGAAGGGGAGATAGATCATTGGTAAAGTGCTTACAGTGCTGGTGTGAGGACTTAGGTTTGCTCCCCAGAGCTCATGTAATAAACCGTAGGCCATAGTGGGATTATTCTTGTAGTCCCAGAGGGTCCGTGGGACTTTCCAGCAGCCAGCTTTGCCTTCCCCATGAGTTTCAGGCCAATGAGAGGACCTGTCTTAAAAAGCAAGGTGGTGGCATCTGAAGACAACTGAGGTTGTCCTCTGGCCTCCAAGGCACATACACACATGTGCACCCTTAGGTGTGTGTGTGTGTGCAAGCGTGCACACACACACCCACACACCCACACACCCACGGTCTTTGCAGTGGGGATATATTTCAGTGATGGAGGGGTTACTGAAGCATGCATAAAGCAAGCCCTGGGCTCCATCCCAGCACCACAAAACTATATTATGTAATAATACATTTTTAAGAGTTCTTTCCAAAAAGAATTTCCCCCATCCTGGGGCTGGGTCTCCATATTTATTTGAGGACAGCCTCTTACCTCTTGGGATTAATTTCTCCTACACAGGGTGCTATATTCTGGGTCCAGCTAACTCCCCCTTCAATGAAATGGTGTCAGGTAATGGATTGGGCTGAGTCTGTTATCATCTTTAGTAAAACTTCCTTCAGGACCCTAACCCCATCAACTTTTTTTCTGAACTCTAAAACTGTCATGAATTGGAGGGGTCCTGCTTCAAGCTTTCAGTTGAAATCATGGAACACAATGTGCTATGTTCCTCCCAGAGGGGCCAGAACCAGGGCAGGTTGTAAATGACCCTGTTCACACATGGCAGGTCTGTCTGGGTGTGTAAACTGACCCTGACTCTCTCTCTCCTCTCTCTGCAGTGAAATGTAAAATGGAGGACGAGGAAGTGCCTGCTGCCTCAGTGCCACCTCCTTAACTGACGTGTTACTCCACGCCCAACTGCAGATTCCCGATTACAATTTCTTTAAAAAGCCCTAATATGGCAGATACAGAGCCCTTTGCACACAGGCCAGGTTTGCTGCAGACAAGCTTAAGTGCAGTTTAGGAAAGCATCCCTTAGCTTCTGCCTTACCCCAAATGCTACGTTCTGATCCACTTCTCCACCGTGTTAGGTGTACCCTTCTGAGCCACCGCAGTTGGAACACCCAGTGATAGTGTCCCTGTCACCAGTTTTCCCACTTCTGCCAAGATCCGTATTTTCATTTATCTCGAATCTCTGTGACAGTTCTGCCTTGGTTTTGTCATTGACTTAAATGAGGCTAGGCCTGAGAACTGAGTTGTGTTTTCAGCTCAAGAAGAGACAGTCATCGCCTAGGATTTCAATTGTCAAAGCCCCCCCCCCCCAAGTGTTATAGCAGCATCCTGTTAATGTAATGGTCATCTGTTCTCTGGCTGCTGCCCACCAGGATTCTATCATTCAAAAGGTCCCAGACACGACTGTGGTAATACTGGACTGTTTGACAAGCTACCACGAATCTTAGGTAAACAGTAAAGCCTTTATTTTCTTGTTAAGAACAGCATTTTGAAAATAAAATCTATCTGCCCATGCTCAACAACCTTTGCAATCTGTGATATTTATATGTACATACTGATTGTCTTGAAATTTTCCAAACAATTTTGTTTATAAGTATGCAAGTCAGCCAGGGTGGGGGATAGAGTGAGGGTACATTATAAAACACACATTAATACATTTAATAAATATATATTATCTATCAAAAATGAGCATAGTTCTTCATGAATAAAAAGCACCTTCCGGGGCTCTCATCAGCTCACATGGTTGCTACACCCTTGGATGTGTAAATATCAGTGCTCCCTTCTACTTTTCAATTTGGCAAGCTCCAAAGACAATCTCTCTCATCCTGTCTGCACACTTGTTTGCTGGCCTTGGCCTGATCTGCGTGAGGGTAGGGTAAACAACAACCAGCTCTTAACCTTGGAAACAGCTGACACATCAGAGCCTATCCCCACTGCCATTGTCCCACCACCTCAGCAAAGGACCTCAGAACACTGTAGAGTTTTCACTTAGGTGGGGACAGAGGAGCTGTCACAGTCCCAAAATGGTGGCACTACCTGGACATGCTAGGCTGTGCTTACAGCTTGGTGCTGTTCACAGAGGACTTTGTAGACTATCTCCCCTAACTCTACTAACTTTTAAACAGGTGCTGTGGCATTCTGTACTTCAGCTTCGTCCCGCCGGAAGCTGGCTGCAGTCTCTGGGTGGAGTTGCCTCGTGGTCCTCTTCAGGTGAACTTGAACTCATTAGAAAAATAGCAGATGTCGTCCTTCTTCCTTTGCTCCCACCTCCACCCCTGTCTAAGAACACCGAGCCCACCCTGAACCTTAGATTAGCCAATATAAAACAAAGCCCAGAAGCGTGATCACCTATCAGGATGGAAAGAACAAAACAAAAAAACAAAGCAAAACTGAAAGGCCTCACTAAGTGAGGCTTCCTGTGGCTCAGAATGGTTCTGGATTTATAGCGTAGAAACACTGCTTTCTGTACAGCCATTTGCACGGTGCTCACCTGATATGCGGACAACAAAGGGCTTAGAGAGAAAATCATCAATCATGTCAGCTTCTCCCATCTGCAAGGGGGGGATTTTGCAGACCAAGTCACTGGTGACATCAGAAAGCTCCAAAGGACTCCAGAGAGCGGGGGTGGGCAGCCACTTCCTGGCACAAGAATGCGGAGCACTGACGTTTGTCACCGGACTGGCCCGAGGTGCTCCGAGATCTCTTCGCAGAAGGCTGGGTAGTGCATGCAAGAGCCCCAGCCATACGCAGCCCTGGCGTTCTTGCCCTCCAACCCCTCCTCAAGCTTCTAAGATCTCAGCCCAACCACATGATGGTCCTTAAGCATAAAGGACTGATTCAATTTCTCTGGAAGCAAGCACATGCTCTGAATGGGGTGGGGCACCCCAGAAAGCTGGGGAGGGGAGCATGCTTTCTGCTTCCCATGCGTGGTGGTGATGCACTAGCTGTAAGGAAAACTTTTGGGGAAGCCAAGCACTAGCCAGATTGGCCTCATCTCCCTAAGGCTCTGCAAAGACAGGATAGGGCAGGGAGGGGATACAGCAGAGACTGGGGTCTTGAGAAAAATCAGATTTATTAAAACACTCAGCTCAGATGTACTTGCTTAAGAAGAGGTCAGTCCCTACCCCCACCCCCAAATACTAACCTTTTCAATTTTGCTTCCATTAAAGGTTAAAGGCTTATGGGTAGTTTTCATAGAAAAAAGCAATGTAGTGATTAGAGTGTATGCAGAGGCTCCACCCTTGTTTATACAGTCCATATGGTCAGGTTCAAACTCTTAGGCATGGGAAGGTTGCTAGAGATTATCCTGGCCAAACAGTGCAGAGAACACAGGGCTTTTGGTGGCAGGGATGCTGGAGATGCTGAGCGACAAAGGAATGACTTGCTCAGGACAGATGGAAGCCATGACAAATGACGACTGTGAAGAGGGCCACTTTCATAGAACCATCGGAAAACCAAGATTAAAATGGTCTCTAAACCCTCTGAAGGCAGCAAGAAACCTTCATGGAACTCATTCTATCCTGGACTTGTAGCCACATCAAGGGAAAATACCCAGACGTCACTGACTGCTGGACATGAGGATGTCATCTCTGCACTCCAGAGTCACCCCTGGGAAGCTCAGTCATAGGACATGGTGAAAACTCTGCTATGGTGCCTGCCTTTCAGCCTGACTGCCCTGAAGCTTCAAGCTGGCGGGCCTATCTGAGCTTCTGAAATGAACATGGGAATAAAATCGGGGAAGGGCAAGTGCAACATGAGGAAGAAGGAATACTTCTATCACTCTGTAACGGGCGAGGTGCTCGGCAGAGCAAGAGGCCCGTAGACAGAACAGTGGTTGGTTACCACTACACATGATGGCCACTTCAAGGTCCAGGGTACCTTCTCCTCTTTGGCACTTTCTGTGGTTTCTCCACTCCGGCTACACAACTCCCTGACTGCCCGGTTGGGCCTTACTTTGGAATCACAGCCACAGCCTCCTAAAGTCTCCTGAACTGCATAGGCCACCAGGCAAACAAGCCAGGGAAAAGGGTCCGTGAGTTAATCTCAAGGGCGTAGTTATCTCCAAAAGACCTCCCTGGGGACCAGCACCCGGGGAGGAGGTGACAGGCTGGCTCCAACCCTTCATATAAGCCAACATCAGCCTGGCACACCAGCTGTGAATTTTTCCCCCCACTGGATGAAACAGTTTCCCAGCCACGCTTCTCTGAATGAGCCTAAGACTATTGGCAGTTAGCTCTGATTTAGTTTGCAGGACGATTCCGTGTTTGTGTGTGTGTGTGTGGCAGGATAGGGGAGGGCGGTCACAGTTAGCTTTCCAGTTCATCCGTATGTCACATTTACATGAAATCCCCTTGGTAGGAATTCCCAGATTTCCTGGCTTCCAGGTGGCCTGTCTCAGCCATGGTTATGGATTTCGCCCTCAAGAAAGACACAGCCAGGGAATAAAATCGGTAAGAGAGATTCTTATTCTCTGGAACTTAAGGTCTTTCACCAATGGTGTCTTCCTGTGTGAGATGGCGGAGCAGTTGGGATCTGGAATAACATAAGGACAGTACTGAGAACTCTGCAAAGTCAAGGTTAGAAACCAATGCATCAATTTCTTGCTTTTACCTGGGGGGAGGGGTGGCTGTGGGATGGAGTCACCCCAGAAATGTACCAGAGTTTCATGTCACCCACCCTCAGGGACATACTCCTCACTCAGACACTTAGTGCTTTAAGGAGTGAGGATGGGACTTGACTAGGGCATGGCACACAAGGATCCTTCCAGTGAGCTTCACCGGAGACCCTACAGCAGCCACCTGGTAAGACCTCTGTTGCCTTCTCTGCACTGGCCTTGAAGGAACCAGGAGGACTTCAGAGTGATGGACAGGCTGTGCTAATTACAGAACATGGCTGGCCCCTCTGGGGACCAGTGGTCCCAGTAAAGTGAGGCTTTTCTAGGCCCCAGGACAAAGAAACAGCCCAGGAGGTGGTAGGGGGATTTAAGAACACAAATCAGTGTTTCTATTTTCCTTACAGCCTGTACAAAGCAAAGGGAACCAGAGCCTAGCAGAACCTTCACAGGCCAGAAAAACCCAAATTCTCTCCCTCTAGTGATCAAAGACCATTCCTGATGGTCTATTAAAAAAAGAAAGAAAGAAAAGCTCAGGTTGAATTATGGAGTTGGCACAGAATAAAGAATGGAAATCAAATGTGCACATGTGAGCTGGCCCATGCACTGTTTCTGAGAAGCACAGAGCTATGTCTGGGAAGCAGACATGGGGATGAATGCCTCTTTGGGTTTTGCTGGAATGAAACAGTCATTCCAACAGAGGCAAAAAGCAAAAGGTAAAACTTTCTGCTGCAGGTCTGTTTGGCGACAGATAAGTACAGATGCTCTGGTATTTGAGGGAAACAATTCAATTTCCTAGGATGTTTCTTAGGGAGATGGCGTGAGAGGGACCTGGTACCCACCTGGGGGTACTGGATGGAGTAGGGCCCAGGGGGCTTAAGCTAGGGTGGATGTCAGCAAAGATAAGAGCATCCCGACAGGAAGCTTTTCTGGGAGAGGGGTGGGACACTGTGTTCAAGAAAGAAAATCCACCAGGTAAAGAGCCTCAAGCAGTAGGTCGGCACCTGCAGATGACCTTCTGAGTGTGGGTGGGTTTTCCTTTTGTGAAGAAAGATGGTAGAGGGGGCCATGGAAGGCGTGCATGCATGGAGCTGCAGTGGGCAGCCCAGAGCAGCAGCCTCTAGGTATACCCAGCTGAAGCTGCCCCACATTGGACGCTCTCAGGCTTCCTGCCCAGACATCATGTTTTGATACTTACGGTCCCGCCATTGAGTACAACAGCCATCTCGGTCGGCTGATACACATTGCTTCTGAATGGTGCGCTGGGTCGGCTTCCCAGGTTGCTGGGCTTCTTTCCCAGGCTGTCACTGGATCTTTTCCCCAAGCTTCCATTGGAAAAGCTTGCTGCTGATCTAAGAGCTGAGAAAGGGGTTTCCAAGATGACAACACCAGAGAGCAGGGGGAAAAGGAAGGGGGAGGGTTGGGGGGGGGAGGGAGAAACAGAGGGGAAAGGAAGGGAGAGGGAGAAAGGTGGGGAGGAAGAGAATTTTGTTTTTCTCCAACAGCCAGCTCCTCCCCTCTGGCACCTCTATCCACCCACCACAGTGGCTCCTCCCCTTTGTCACAAGCCTGAGGCAGAACAAAAGTCACAAAGGGGCTTTGTTCTCCAGCCTCAGCCTCAGGAGGCTTTGGGAACTGAGGAGTACTGCTCTCCCCAAACAGCTAAAGCCAGGCTGGGTGGCAGTCACCGCTGGGCTGTCAGGTTTCTTTTACACTTATGTCCAGGTCTTACACACCATACCAGTCAAAAGCAGTCCCTGTTTCTGGATGCTGCGGAGCTGGGGACTGCTAAAAACACATAGGACAGTGATTGCCATCAGTGGAAAATGACCCTCAAATGATCCCAAATAGGAATCAAAGACCCGAAACAATGATGGCAAAAAGAGTTAGTACTCTAACCCTGAAGTAGGT